TTTTCCCTGTCTGGGAATAAATATAAGTTAGGAAAGGTTAGGTTTGGGTTTTTGGGTTTGCATGATAACCTGGTTTTGGGACTTTGCCTCTGGAGGGAGTGTTGCTCTTGGTAACAAATACACTTGAGAGCTGTTATATTTATGGTATCTGAAAGAAGATGCTTAGAGTTAGTAATGGAAAAAAAAAAAAAAAAAAAATCAGTGAATGATTTCAGGTGAAAATAAAAGTTTCAGGCATTATACTGGACATTGTAGTGTGATTTTCGATATAATTCACAATTTTTTTTTTTTTTTTAGCATAGTTGGATATCAATTTAAAAATTTATGATTGATATTGAATGTGAATCAACACGTAGTGCCCACCATAACTCCTCTTTATGATAATGAAAAATTAAAGTTTCTCAGAAAAAAAAGTTTTCCGTAACAGGAGCCACCTATTTCACCATGTCAACTGAAGTTAACCAAAGTAACCTAGCTGAGTGATTACTAATAGAGGTAAACTTTCACAATTAACAGTATACAGTTTAATTTAAATTTACCAAAATTTCCTATTCATTGAATTGTCTTTCTTTCTTTCTTTCAGGAAGAGTTAGCAGTCTCAGTGCAAGATGTATATCTACCACACCAATAGTAAATGGAAAATTCCAAAAAAAGTATATAATATTTGTTTTGCACACACACACATTCATCTATAAATACTCATAACCAGGGTAAAGGAGATCTCTTACAATTTCAAGCCCCATTTGGCTCCAGGGTATATTAGGCAAGAATGATATTCACTTCATATATTTGTATTTGAATGAAGATTTAGCAGAGCAAAGAAAGGGCTATCTGGAAGTAAACCAAATAATTTCTTTGTCATTCCAGGTCAAATATCGTATGTCTATTTATGTACACTGATTTATTAAAATTGTAAATCAGGATAGAAATGGAAGGATAGTTATCTCTTAATGAAAACATCTCTTTATTGGAGTGTAGTGTAGGCTGGTTTTGTTTGTAAAGATAGAAAATGAAGATCTTGATTTTTTATGAAATGTATGAATGAAATACTCTCAGAATAATACTTTGAACTTATTATTTAATAATTCATTAATTTTTATACATTCTAGGTTTGATACATCTATGGGAGCATGGGGGCCGCTAGTGGATGGGCCAGACTACACATTTCTTGATGGGCGACCAACTCCCCTTCGCAGTGGGCAGAGAAGGAGAGCCAAGCAGCAGAAGGAAGTTTCGGTTAGTTATAAAATATTGTGTATTCATGCACAGATGCCTCCATAAGTGATCAACCACTAAAAAGTCAGTTAGTGGGCCTAGGTGACCTCACCTCATTTCCCTTGTCTTTGATTTTTAGGGAAAATGTATTTACAAATACTGTTAATGTTGCTACTGTTACTGTTATTGTTTACATTATAATATCTCCTCCTCTCTCTCCCTTCCCAACCATTGTACCTCAGTCTTTTGGCATCTGTATCTCTCTTTCCTCCCCCCTCCCACCTACTGTACTTCTCTCCCATTCCCTGTCTGTCTGTCTTTCTCTCTGTCTCTCTCTCTCCCTCCCTCCCCTCCCTTCATCTGTCTCACCTTCTCTCCCTCCCTCCCTTCCTCTGTCTCCCCCCTCTCTCCCTCCCGCCCTTCCTCTGTCTCCGCCTCTCTCCCTCCCTCCCTTCCTCTGTCTCTCCCCTCTCTCCCTCCTGCCCTTCCTCTGTCTCCCCCCTCTCCCTTCCTCTTGTCTCCCCCTCTCTCTGTCTGTCTTCCCCCCTTTAATTTGTATTGTTTTCTGATTTCAGGAAAAGGTTTTACAGTTGATGAAGGAAACAAATTTTGCAATTGAACGGCATCAGAGACTTTTGCATGAAGAAAAGGAGAAGAAAAATCAGATTCTTAATGAAAAGTTAAAGCCAAAAGGTCATAAATTACTAAAGAATTAAAGTATGTTCACTTCTGTTGTCTATTTTTTGTAGGAAATTTGATCTTATGTCAGCATTGAAATGTATATAAAATAAAACTTTACATAAAAAATTTGTTTTAATGAGTTTCTTGGTATCCTTGCAAAATATCTTTAAGTGCCCAAGTAGGAAGAAAACGGATATACATTTTGAACATCAAGTTGATAATTGTATATAACAAGTAAGGATAAATCCAATATGCGAAGCTGAGCCTTGCATGGGCTATGCCTATGAAGGGAGCCAGGCCTATGTCGACTTATGCCGACATGATCAATGTGTGTTAGCTAGTTCTGACTCGATGGAGCGTAATCCTTCCCCACCATGGTGCCCAGCCTCAGCTGTAACCTCCGGGCGACAACTGCAATTTCTCGTGCCTGAGTGGGGCATGAACCAGCAGTCCCTCTGATGAGAGGCCAACACCACTGTACTAGCCCAGAGGCTTATGTATAACATAAATAATAATGATAATAACCTGAAAGAAGAAAAATCAGATTCTTAATGAAACGGTAAAGCTGAAAGGTCATAAATTACTAAAGAATTAAAGTATATTAATTTCTTTTGTGTATTTTTTGTAGGATATTTGATCTTATGTTAGCATTGAAATATATCAATATGTATACAAAATAAAATCTGGTAAAACTTGTTTTAATGAGTTTGTTGGTATCCTTACAAAATATCCTTAAGCACTCAAGTAGGAATTAAAATCAGATAAGGAAAAAAAAATAAATAAAAAGATAAGAGAAAATGGATACACATTTTGCACATCATCAAATCAATAATTATATATAATGAGTAAGGATAAGTCCAATATGTTGTGCCTGGGCTATGCCTATGAAGGGAGTCAGGCCTGTATTGACAAATCTGGCTTGATCATTGTGTGTTTGCTGGTTCTGACTCAATGGAGCCTAATCTTTCCCCACCATGGTGCTCAGACACAGCAGTAACCTCCAGGCAACCATTAATCCCTCGAATGAGAGGCCATGTTACCACTGTACTGGCCCAGAGGCTTATGTATAACATAATTATGATAATAACCTATTGGATCCAGGTACCTCCAGTTCTGCATGTAGCCCAAAATATAGGCAGTAGGCTTACTTTGAATTGCCCCTCTCTTGCATTTACTGCTTACACAAATATTTATGTGTTGTCAAAACTCCTTCCCTCCCCTTTGCAATGGTTTTGTCTCTTAACTTTTTTTCGCCGTTTTCCAAGGTCTGCATATTGTCATTTGATATGCTGTATCAAGATGGTAATAGACTGTTTTCTTTCCACAGACTACATATCAAATCACTAGGTAGTCTACAACTCTGTGCAATAACATTTTGTTATTTGTGTAGTTATATATTTTTGGATTATTCAGTTTTCTGCAACACCCTGTGTTGGCAGTCAAGGCTCCCTCAGACTTGCACTCTTCCAACCATTGCTCACGGATGGTACATTTCATAATGGAAATAATGCAGGAGCCCATTCCTAAATGCTCCCTGAGTCCAAAATTGGCCTCCAGCTGAATTTTTCATTATGGAATATTCCTGGCATCTGCCCTCAGCCCAATTTTCTCCTGTTTTGCTCATGTCAGCTGGATTCAATAGGTTAAAAAAAAAGAAAAAAAAAGAGAAAGAATAAAACAATCATAATAGAATGACAGTACTGCAAAAGCAACAACTAAAACAACTACTACTACTACTACTACTACTATACCGTTAAACTACTGAATACAACCACTATACTATTGATACTACTAGTACTATTATTAATAATAATAGTAATGATGAGGGTAGTAATAACCATGATAATAATAATGGCAATAAAAACTTCAGTGAATACTGATGATGATGATAACAATGAGAGAACAATAATGCATACAGTCGTGATAAAGACAAATAACAGTAGAAAAATATTTGAAAACAAAAATAATGGCAATCTTCCTATTATCTTTTACTTTGTATAGCAGGTTTTCTGTCATTGCATCAACATGGCAGTGTTTTTTGTTTTTTTTATGATGGTACTGGTACTATTAGTTATCCTTCTTAGCAGCAGCAGCAGTATCAATTAGGAAATTAAAATGATCTGAGCCCCTGAACTTCTATTTGTCACAAATTTATGAAATTGCATTTTCAACTTAATATTTTCTGCAATCATGGTTATCTTATATTTACTGTGAAAACCAGCTGGGCTTTATTCCTACCTCTTTTCCACTGTGAATTAGCTATATGTAGTGTCAATTGAAAAAGTTGGTATTTTCTTGCAAGTTTCTCTCACGCATTCCCATTGATGTTGTCTTTATACTCCTATTCCCTTTACAAGCCCTCCTCTTCCAGAGCTCAGTTAGACGTGATTCTTGCCTCCTTTTTGGTATATATGGAATAATGTGTGAAATAATTCTAGTTGTGCATAGGATACTCTGTCTATGTGAGCCCTCTATCCTGTTTTAAGTCCCATTTCCCCTCTACAAAACTATGTATTGTACAACCACCTACTTGACTCTTATTGCCTTTCTTTTTTACTCCACTTATATATTTGATTACATATTTTATTTATTTGTATGATATACATGAATATTTTTTTCTGCTTTATTCCTTGCTAGTTTTTACGAAACTTCTCAGTTTCAGTCTGGAGTAACTGGCATAATTTTTCACCTTTGGCGCCCCACGATTCAGCATGTATTTGATATGTGACAGCATCATGTACAGTTTCCTGTGTAAAACAATAGGTTCTTGAAATATCAAAGACCAAAGTTTGCCTTACTTTAGTGTAACTTGAAAATGGGCATTAACTGAAGCTGGGAAGGAGTGGGGAGGTTGGTACTTGACAATGTTATTACATGTAAAACCAATGTTGATTTTTGCAATAAGTAAATAAACCCAATGTTGACAGGATGGCAAGACTACATGCTATATCTGTTGTAATTACAAAATGAAAACAATGAAAATAATAAGGTTTCATAGGAACACTGTCATTTTACACTTCAAAATAATATATAAGAATATCAAGAAAATATCCAATCAATAGGTTCATTAAAATCTACTGTTCTATCAATGAAAATACTTCTCAAAAATACTATTTCACTTTTATTCTAGATAATTCACATACAAATTATCCATTTCACACTGTAAGTCATACAATCTTTTTCTCCATAATCCATAAATTTCTGCATCAAAAGTTACATCTCCCTTTCCTGCTAAAATGGCTTCCCTATCTTCTAAATATTTTTTGCTATTAGACTGACCATCCTTTAGAGTTTCTTCTATCCCTTTAACTTTTCCCTTGGGGCTATTCTTTAGCTTTGTATTTCCTATGATCATAGGATCTTCATCCTCTTTTTTCCTTTTATGGGTTTTTGCATGAGTTTCATAGTTCTCAATCACTGAAGATGTGACTTCCTTCATTTTGGCCAACAACTGGTGACGAATCTTCTCTGTCTGGGAATTGTTGTCTTTCATGTTGACTTCTGGAGGCTGTATGTTTACATCTAAGGGGAGCACAGCTAGCATTGAATGAACTACTAGCAATGCCTGGTTATCATCTCTGTGAATGAAAAATACAATCTTGCATCAATACAATACATTAGCTATATGTATCTTAATGTTTTATACCAGTGTAAGTATTGTCTCATTTGTAAAAAAATGAGTACCCAGAATAAACTACATGATATACATAAAATAAGTGGTAGATAAACCATTTTTGAATTTAACATGATGTCTCACTTGGTGTAGAGTCTGATGTCCACTTTGTGTGCATCCAGAGGCAGGTATGAGAAAACAGCAAGTCTTAAAGGATGACATTCTGCAGGGTAGAAGCAGTACATACCAGTGACACCTCCAATCTGAAATGAAAGTAAGGAATAGTGATAAGTTCTCTTTGCCATGCCTAAGGAAGGTTTGTCAAAAACTAATGACTTTTAATATGAATGAACTATATTTTTGCCTACTAATATATTTAGTACTGTTTGGCTAGTTTCCTTCAGTTAAACCAATATCACCCTCATACCCCACTCACCCTATAGAAACTCTTTCTAAGTCAATCATGGTCATGTAGACTACTCCTATCTCTTTCTTCTTGTGATGAATGGAACATAGTAAGTGTAAATTAGAAATTGCCAGAGTTAACATCTTACTAAATCCTGTTCTTTTATTTTATATGCATCTAAATACTTATACACACAATTTTTTATGACAAATATATGATTTCATGCATTTCATATAAATATTTATAGTAATCTCTCCCCATATTCTTTTATATGAGATGGGTAACTGTGATAACTTTTTCCAATTCTGTACTCTACCGACACTCATTGTATTTGAGGCATGACAATGAAATATTTATTTTCTCGTGTGTAAAATTTATCTTTTAAAGTGCCTACAACCAAATTTTGAAATTTGGCAATCCATATGGGGGGGGGGGGGGCTTGGTACTCTTATATTTGTTTATAATTATGATTATCATCTATAACTTATTTTTTGTAAATTGCAATATTATTTATTCTACCCCTTAAGCTATTGATGTCAGGAGATCGCACCATCCACAGTACTTTAGTTTGTGACATTTGTTATTACATATATGGCTTCAGATGGAGGCCAATTAATAAGCCTAACTGATCTTACTTGATTCTCCTATACCTTGAATTTTCGCATTTTTTTCTAATGCTCTCAATATTGTTCTTATACTATTATCATCATTATTGGCATTATGATAATCATTACATTATTAACAATACTAATAGCAATAACATATCAAAAATAGAAATATTCCAAAAAATCAAGGATAAGGTTAACCAAGTTTCATAAAGCCACCTATGTACAAACATAAATAAATTATATACATTGCATGCATATAAATCTAATCACTTCTATCTATTCTAATTCCATTTACACAAAAAATAGGTTGTACTTTAGAAACCTATGGATCAAAATCTTCATTACATGAATTGAAAAATCAATAATCTTTTCGGTACCCTTTGAATTATATGGTGCAGGTTGCTCTGTGCTTTCACCCACGTGAACCTAAATACAGGTACACATACCTTAGAGGTTAAAGGCACTATTTTTTTAACAGCGTCTTTCATTATGATATATTAAGGTACCCGTTTTTCATAAGGATGCAAGAAACAATGCATATTGTTAAAGGCACTATTTTTTTAACAGCGTCTTTCATTATGATATATTAATGTTGATTTTTGCAATAAGTAAATAAACCCAATGTTGACAGGATGGCAAGACTACATGCTATATCTGTTGTGTATTTATTTATTGTGTCTTTACACAAAGATGGCTTCACAAGTACTTACTTAATCACCAAGTCAATTATTGGTCATACTTGGCTCACCAGTTACTCCTTTTTCTTATTTTTTTTTTTCTTGTGTTTTATTGCTATTAGTACTGTTAATAACATTATAATAATCATAATGTCAAAAATAATAATAACATTGATAAGAGTTTTAATTTTTTTTTAACTTAACCCATTGGATCTGATTGCTTCACAGCAATCACATGGCCCAAAATATGGGTATTATGCTTACATTATGTTGAGACTCTATGCCTCCCCTTTGCAATTTCATTTTCTCTTTTTATAACAAGCATTTTTAGCTTTGCCATTTTCCAATGTCCATATTTGTCATTTGATTTGCTTAATGTAGATGTTAACAGACTCTTTTCTGTAAAATTAAAAGGATAAAAATAGGTTGCAAATGGCATCCTTCCTGGAGCTGGTGCTCTTCTGGTCATGGCTCACGGACACTACATTTCACACTGCAAAAGCCCCTTTCTAAAAGCCAAATGAGTTTAGCTACCGTCCAAGAGGCTTGTGCTCTTATGGCAAGTTTTTCCTGTCACCCCCAGCCTTCAGCCAAAATGCTCACAACAGCAAGTTTGCATCTGCAGCCAGATTTTCCCATGACGGCATGTTCACATCACCTGCCCCTCAAGCCAAAATTTTTCATGACATAATTAAGTCACATCATCCAGATTGTAGCATCAAGAAAAGGGGAAATCAGCTGAGGACATGTAGGTTTACTAATTGCTTTTGTGGTGTTATTACACTTGTGGAGCCATCTCTGTGCATACAAAATTCACAAAAGATGACATTAGACAGTATGATTACCCAGCATCATTGGGCTAAATTCTTTAAGAAAATATAATCAGCATATGCTGTGTTGTACCAGAGCCATTTTCACAAAATATACACCAAAAAGTTTAATATGCTCTTCACACTACAATTCTCTAGAATGAACTAAGGATTTCCTATCAATCTGGACAAAATCTGAATGGTAAGCCCCAAAGAAAATGCATTCATCCATCTTCTTTTAAAGCTAATACACATATTTCTTATAACAATAAAACAATCCCTGTCTGAACATTAAGGAATTCCAACTGCAATAGTTAATGCTACTCTACTACTGTTGGTAGAGCACATGGTATCTGTCCAATTTCTATGTAAAAAAAACAATCTTTCTTTTCAGTATTACAAAATTTCAAAAAGACATATAAACATCTGTATTTCTATAAGAACCTAATGTATGCATTTCTAGAAAAGCACAAGAACCAAAAGTAATATTTTGTTTTTACTCTTCAAGTATATATCTGTCTTTAACATGAACAGAAACAAGGAGAAAATGGAAATAGAAAAATATACTGCTCAAACCAAAATTTTCAATAGTTTATCTGAAAATCACTGGCAATGAATCATGCAGCAAGTAAAACCTAGCCACCTGGGAGTATTTTCATTACCTTTATACAAACTAGATTTTTCTATCAAGTAAATATGTATTGCTACTGGAGGCTATAATTGACTATTACCTTAACTTTTGGTTACTAGGGATGGATTACTAATACAGCCACAACCTTGACGGACTACAGAGATATGAAAATTTGATCCGAAGAAAAGAGGCACAGCCTCTTATGAAGTTAAGAAGCCGTTTTACTAACTAAACACATACATAAATGTAAACCATGCTATGGGGGGGGGGGGAGAAAAGAAAGAAAGAAAAAAAAAAAAGAGCTAGAAACTAACCTTCACAATTGTGTAATTATTTGAAAGTTTGGTTATTAGATTGCAGAGTGGTGAAACAAAACTGGTTATAGTAATGTTGTTACATCTGCTTCCTCCTACCAGTGCTACAATGCTATAAGGCACACCTGTGTAAAAGCAAGTTTCATTATTGATAGTATTAATATTATCAATGTTATTACTATTACTATTATTATTGTCATAAATATTATTATCATTATCATTACCATCAATCTCAATATTATCACTGTTTACAATAATTATTTTTGCTAATGCCTACTCTTTCAAATCTTACGTATGACTTTGCAAATGTGCAGGAAGTGGCTGGTAATGATTTAGAAAATGCACCCAAAAATTTAATTCCATGTCAAGGTACTGTTCCTCAAGAGTATTATTTTTTTTCCATTTAAATAAAAGAAAGTTATTTTGTAGAAATGATAAACTAAAAATGGAATATAGACACATTCAAATTCATACTATCTCTTTCCATGATACTGATTTTCTCTACTTTTCCTAGATTTAATACAAAGCAGTAAAACATGCAAAAACAAAATTAAGTACCTCCTCTGACATTTTCTGGATCAATGGTTACCACATGAGTCTGAAGTTCATGTGCATGTATTGTCACAGGTTCAAAGGATATTTGGTACTCTTGCGATGATTCCTCAGGTTGCGCAACTTGCTGGGTAGGCTCCATTGCTAAAGGCTTACAAGAATATGATATTATCCCTGAACAAGTCACACTTGAGCCCTCACTAAAACTTGGAATGTTGCATATACCTGTAATAAAGAAAAACATCCATGGCTTACTATACCAGTATCTGTACACCTAAGATTACTTATAAGGACAATATGAAAACTAGAGTGCTACTTTTCATTCTGATTGTTGTTACCCTCTCATCTCCAAAGCTGACAATCTATTGCAATTCATTTACTTTCTTGTGAAAATAGAAAGGTCATAATGTCAAAACTGCATCATCATATAAGTGAAACTCTGAAATTTGATCTATAGTTCCATGAATACACCCCTACCCTTTTCAGATATTTTACTTATATTACACTGACATGGAAGGAAAAAAAGCAGCAGCAAAATATCTGAATGCTGTCTGAAAAACTAATGATACCCATTTACAACAGGTGTCCCACATATAAGACACCCTGACGCGCAGGCAGAGTCCGGGCCAGCCCTATGCGCGGATTTTGCAGCCACCCAGAAACTTATTTTCCGGCTTCAAATTATACCGGCGTTAGTGGGTTAATACTTTTACAGTAGAATAGATATATTTGATAATTTTGGATTATGTCTAACGTCACAAACTAAATACCCTGCACTATAGGCCTCCCTCCTAAATATCAAATAAAGTATATAATCAAATAAATGTGAATATAAACTGAGGTGACTAAAGATTCAAGCCTGATGGTGCCACTGATATCCACAGCGTGTACTAACGAAGTTACTAAATTTGCAAGGGATTTAGGACTACAACCTAATTGAATGGCTACTCAGTGGGAACAAAAGGCCTAACTGCATGCCATGTCAACTGTAGCTTTAGTTAATTAATTGTGTTTACTAAGAGATGCCTCCATAAGTGTATAATCATTACTAAGGAGTCAATTATTAGTCCTACCTATCTCATCTGTTTTATGGCAAGATTCTTTTTTTATTATCTTATCATTTCTATTGCTACTAATATATTAAAAACATTATATCCATCTTAATGTCAATAATATTAATAAAAGCAGTATCAATATTAACAGCATGAAAAAAAAAAAAAAAAAAAAAAAAATCCCACAAATTCATGGAATGGGAAAATCAGGCATGGTCACCATGGCAAACTAATTGACTTCTAAGTAGCTGAACACTTGTGGAGCAATGTGTGTGCTACAAAATTTACAAAAAAAACAGAATGGACAGTACAGAAATCCATGGCCAATGGGTTAACACAGACCATATTATTAAAAGATGAAGGTTTTCTCAAAGATTGGAAAATATTAAAGGTTAATCTAGCATTGCTAACAATATGGCCAATGGTTTACAAAATAAAAATTTACCTATATGAAAAAATTGAAAAAACAACCAGTTAAATCATTGCTAATGTAGCTAAATATTTACCCATTATCATCCAAAGTAACTGGACTGATGATTAACAATGACATCATGAAAGGGTGGGTGAATGAGGATAACACAGGTCTGCCTATTATGCGGATATGGTACTTGTTGCAATAGGAATACTGTTTAGATGTTTGGGTTCTAATTTCTTACATACTTGGGGAACATTCAACTACATTCAAAGGCATACTTATGTTGTTTGAAATACTATTCTAAGAAAGAAATGCTAACTAATGAAAAAATATCTTCAGAATAAATCCAATTACATTACTTCTGTGAAAAAAATTAAAGAAAAGGATGAAGGAACTATAGCATTAATGTGCCATTTGTGCCAACATTGCTTCTTCTACTACCACACTAAGGTAAATATTAACCACTGATCTGGATTATGTGACCATCCCGTCATGAAAAAATCTGGCTTAAGGGGTGGGTGATGTGAACATGCCATCATGGGAAAAAATGGCTGCAGACTGGGTGATGTGAATTTTCCATCATGAGCAAAGGCCAGGGTGACGGAGAAGACTTGCTGTGAGTGTTCGTGAGCACCTGGCAGAGCAGCTACCTACATAAGCCTAATACCCGTATTTTGGTCCATGTGGTTGCCATGAAGCAACCGGATCTAAAGGGTTAATCAAAATTTAATAAAGTGTAAAAAGAAATAAAATCTATACTGGGATATTTACCAAGAATGCAGGCCCTCTTCTTAGGTCTCAGAATTGGGGGATGTAACTTCTCTATTTCAACTCTGAGACCAATGGAGTCATTATTACTTTCTGACTGATTTGACTGTCTCCTTTGTACTGTCTTCCAAATGCTCGTAGTATAAGAAAGATGTTGTGTCCCTTTTACAACATGCAGACTCAGCTCAGGGTTACACATCAAACTCCTGCGGAGAGTGATTATAAAATCATTAGAGAATATCACAATGACTCCTCATATATCAATATCTGAATATCTGCTCAAATATTCTACATTAATCTTCTAATGCCATACCTGTCAGCCTTGTTGGTAACATTGATACCAATGACCCATTTATCATGAACTATCTTGTGTCTTACAGAGATAATTTCCATAGGAGACTTCCAAGATCTGGGTGGAGGGATTCTCTCGGAAAGGCTCGTGTCAAAACTGCAGCTTCCTACTGTTAACGTCTTCATCACGCTCTGTAAGGGAACATATTTAAAAATGAATAAAATATTGTATTAAGTAATGTAACAAATTACTAAATATACTCCCTAAGCATAATTATTTAGGAAGGTAAAAAGAACATTCCTAAAACTAAAACATTGCAGCTCGACAAGATGCTATCAAGCCATTGCTAAGTAGTCTTACCTTCAGTTCTGATACTGGTGCACCCTCAAGTTTTGACTGGAGAACTCGTATCTTCTGGCTTATATAGGTCTCCTTTATTCTTCTTTCTGAACTAAGTCTTTCCACGTGGCGGATGCCGCCCTAAAAAGGAGACAGTGATCAGTTTGTTAATTTTTTTTACAGATAGCAAGTAGTGATTAATTTCATTATATGATGGTTATGAAGAAAAGGGTAAGGAGAAACACATGGAAAAAGAGATGGATGAGGAAGAAGAGTAAAAATTGGAGGAGGAGATGGAGAAGGAGGAGGAGAAAAAGGAGGAGGGAGGAGGAGATGGGGGTGACAGAAGAAAAGGCAGCTACATGAAAAAATAGGAAATGGAGAAAATGCAAGCAATAGAATAGGTGATATAAAAAACTGCAAAACAGAAGAATAACTCATAATTTTGTTAAACTTACTTTAAGTCTATTAGCCAATGCAACTGCTGCCTCATCTTTACCCCTTTCAGTCTCTTCATTTTCCTTGTCGCCACATAGGGATAATAATTTGTCATTTTCCACTGCACACCATTCTCCTATGTGGAAAGAGTGGAGAAAAAATAAATAAATAAAAAGAAGAAGAAGAAGAAGAAGAAAAAAAAATCATATTATTGTTGGCATCATGAAAACTTGTTTCTAATTTTTGTTCCAGCACTTCTAAAACATAGTACCTTCTTAACTGTAAAAAATGTATAACACAAAACCAATTGACAACTTACCTGAGATGAGTTTCAATGAAAATGTGGGAACCCCAGAATTGTCTGGGTCTGAGGAACTGATGTCCTCCACATCATCCCATTCATGAATAATCTGTAAATAAAATTAATGCAAAAGGACATGAAATAAAAAAGGAAAAACAAAGAACATACATAGTTTTCCTATGCCTACATATATTTTAAATATCTATTCCTTTTGACTCATGCTATATCATCTTTTCCAACAAAGTAACTCTTATTCTGATTTCCATAAAACAGTGCAACAACCAATTATCAATTCAGTATTGGAAGTAATATACCTTAAGGTCACTGTATGATATGAGAACAGCCTTTTGACATCTACGGAGAACAATAACATATAACTGCAATGGTTGAAATTGGTGATGGACCACAATCTGAAAGATAAGGTAGATATGATAATGATGCAATATATTACTATATAGACTTGCTACAATTCTGGGCAGTTAGTAAAATAATGAGACGGTGATAATATCAAACCAGACATAATGACCTCTTTTGAGCTGAACCAAATCAATTCATTCACAAAATATTTCTGCTTGCATTAGAGTACTTGCACTATGAATCAAATAATTATAACCAAATAATAACCAAATATAATTATATAACCAAATAACTCATCGTATTACTTAAATAACAGTCTTTCACATCATTACACAATAAATATTACACTAAAGATAATAAAAACAAATCTTTACCTACTTTGGCTCCATCCTTCCATGACAGTTCTGAAAAACGCACTATATTGCCAGCCTGAAGTTCAATTAGATGTCCCCGTGATGTTACAATGAGTATGTGCTTCTTCACGACTTCTGCAAAATATTTTGTTAAAATATAACTGACAGTTTTTCTCTTGGATCAATATTCACCAGTGAACTTGAACTAAAATAAAAAATGAAAGGAATTTATCAGTCATATTAAAATAAATAAACATAAATGCTGTGAATTTAACTCACCTTCATCATGAAGTTGATCTAATGAACTTCCAACTTTGTAATATGTGGCACTTGCTGAAGTAATAGATGCAAATTCTGGAGGAATTTCATGAGACAAGTCCTTGTCCATTGCAACCTTTGTTTTTCATCTAAAGGTTGTGGCAAAATGTAGGTTTATGTATTCTTAAAAAGGTTCTCTAAATCTCACAAAATAATTCTCATCAAATGTTCTCTAGACCACATTTGCAACCAACTTACTAAAGTTGATAAACTTCATATTTCCACTGCAGAAAAAAATGATAAAATTGGAGTCTGTCCACTATTTACTCATTAATGCATAGTATTTACATAAAATAAGGTAAGGGAGATGCAACAGCATGATACAACATCAAATACAAAGGTAATAATATTCAATTTTTACACACAATTAAAAACTTGATTTCACATAGAACATCAGTCAGTAAAATATTCTTTGGCTCCAACACAGAGGACATCAGTCAATAAAATACTCTTTGGCTCAATCACATAGAATTCTGTTTCCTGTTAATACAGCTCATACATCAACTCAAATCTTTGTATAAGATATTACTCACAAAACTGAAAAGGCAGTGTTCCTGTTGACTAGCTGCTTCCAAATGACTTGAATTTTCTTATCTTCAACACACAGCCTCAACTGGCAGTTTCATATAACCCTATATTTGTTTAGTTTACAGTTATCAATACGCAAACGACTAAATACATAAGAAAACTAAACAAATTAAGAAACAAGAAATTCAATCTTTTACAAAAATTGTTAAATAATATGTTATAGTCTGCTTTTAACCCCAAGATGGGATGGCATGTATGTCTATGCCATGCACACTGAGTTTAAATTATTAACTATTTTTACACATAAATGGCTCCACAAGTACCAAGTTACCAACAAGGTAATTATGAGTAATACCTGTCTCACCTGTTTACTCTTTTCCTTGAAAATATTTTCTTGTATCTAATATTGTTATTAGTAATGTCAATAACACAATAACAATCATAATGTCTATAACAAAAATATTATCAACATTATATGCGTGTTATGTGCCCTGTGCATTAATGTTGAGATTGAGATTGAGATTGATGGCATTAATGGAGAGAAGAAGAAGAAGAAAAAGAAAAAGAAAATCTTGCAAACTCAAGGAAAGGTGAAATCAGGTGATGTCATAAGGTCTACAAACTGATTCCTTTGTGGCTAAGCAATTGCAGAGCCATGTATCTGCAGAGACATTTCACAAAACAATACTATAGTGAACACAACATTTTACCAGAGACTTTGGGTTCATTTCATTGTTGACACAACAGTAGTATTTGATGGATGGACTTTCAAATTAAAAAACTATACCCCATATTAAAAGATGCAGTTTAGTTTCTGTTATGAATAACATGAATAACAATTATATCAAGAACCTTTGGTCTACTAAAGTTTTGCTGACTACATTTTTTCGTCCAAATGTATATCTCACTTTCCTGATAGTGTATGAAACAACAAAGGTTACAAAACCAGCCAATACAAAATTTTCAGCTAATAAGTCTACAAAAGTAAAGAGTAATATCTCAAACAAGACAAAAGATACCTCATGGCCGGATAATAAGACACTTTCAAAGGCATGGTTATTGTCCCGGAAGAACAAACACCTATCGTCTGGCTCTTGAAACTCAAGATCCAGAAGACTTTCCAAAAATAATTTTTCTTTAACAATATAATTCAAGTCTTTCAATGCATGTTGAAGAAACATGCCAAAGAATCTTTTCATAGTTTCATGTGCTCTGAAACTCTGCTCCATCTCTGCTGATGCCATCCTTCCCCTATTGCTTGGTCTTCGCATACCCACAAATCCATGCACAGGTCGTAAAATTGTGTCATACTGTTCTCTGAACTTGTGTGTTATTGCTACTTCAAATATTTGGCATTCACTGGATGGCTCAAGGCCCCGGTGTCCACAAAGATCTTCTTCCTCCCTCTTTAGTTGCTCATAAAAGGAGTGCATATCTACATCAGCATAACCATGTACAGAACGACCATGAATATAATACCCATAAACAGTATGTTGCAGTATAAAAATACTAATATTAGCTATGGAACACAAGTCAACAAATTGCTGGATCTTATTCTCCACACAACGCTCATAAAAAACTGTCTTGAAAAACCACTGTACAACAGCTATAACAACAAAAACAGTGATACTAATAGCAAATCTACATACATAACTTTGTGGTGAGTTATACTCTGTATCACTCTTTTGGAAGTTACTTCTTGGATCTGCACTAGAGAGATTTTCAAAGCCAATAACATTCAGGAATAACAGAGTAAAAAATAACTGATATCCAACATCTATCTTCCTGTGAGTTTGAAGCTCATTCCACTCATTTGTAATGAAATATGTCCTCCATATACTGATTGGCTGTTCTGATTTTGATTTATCTTCCTCATCAAGACTATTTGATAACTGAGGATGTGGGAGGGAATTCTTTGCTCTTGGTTGCTCCCAGTCAATGATGAACATATCAAGTGTCACCTGGACATATAAGATATGAACGATTTGTGCCAATTTCAAGAAACAAGCAGCAATTAAATATTGCTTGATGAGCCCCTCTTGATACTCAGTTAACAAAAATAAGTGCACAACATCTTGCCGCTTAAAGAATATAGTCCAATATAGGCAAGAAAAGAACATGACTACAAAGAAGACATTAGCAAGATTTCCACAAGTTGTGAGAATGAGATGAAAAATGGTTGGCAGATCAATACTAAGTTTCCCAGACCTACGAGACCAACTCCATGTTGTAATCATTGACCACAGCATTGCAAAGGCACTCATTACACCTATAGAGATAGACAAATCATCAGTGATCTTTGAAAAGTCCATAGTATATAAAACCCTAAAACTAGTTACCACCATTGGGTTCAATTCATATTGGTCATCACTAACTTCTCCATATGTCATCTTTATCAGTGGTGGAAAAATCAGGCCATGTCCTTCCCCTTCCCTTAGTCTGATAACTATTTCAATGCTCTGTGCGTATCTTACTACTTTTGCTCTTTCCATTCTGTCTGGTGTATTTGGAGATAGACTCTCTCTACCACTTAGATTATCAAACAAAAAAAATCTCCGCATGAGTTGCCACTTCTTTTCACTCTGCTTATTCAACTTTTCACCTTTCTCTATATAATTTCTATTCAAAACTGGGACTGCATAAATCATGTGATCCTCTTCATCATAATACTGTAAAAACACATCATAAAACACAGTATCATACTTATCCCATAGATCTCTTACTGAAATAGAACAACTTTTGGTAAAAGTTGTTCCAAACTTGACTGCATCATCTAGATCAAAACTAATTAAGGGGCATACTGTTAGTACATCCTCTAAACGACCATACTGAA